CGAGGGCTGGGCTGGCAGGGGCTGCGGGTCGGGAGTGAGGGGCACCGAGGTGGGGAGCCCGTGTTAAGTTGCCCCTTTGGCCGCAGTGAGTGGCTCTGGGTTTCCCGTGGCTCCGGGCAGGGCAGGTTTTCCAGGCCTGGGGCTGGCAGAGCAGCTGGCGTGGTCTGGCCTGTCCCGTCCGGCGGCGCAGCTGGGAGCTCTCCTGGCTCCAGCCGACGGGGGGGAGGGGAGACTGCGCTGCTGGGGCCGTGACCGGGCCGGCTGGGGCTGCTGGCTCCGAGTCCATCCTGTGCTTTCTCAGAACAGGACGTTTCAGACAGAGCGTCGCTTCCTGTCGATGCCTCGGGGAGCCGCTGGGCGAGGAGCGAGGCGGGGGAAGCGCAGCTGGGCCGACGGCCCCAGCGCCCGGGGCTCGGCGTGACCCCAGGCCCCCTCTGCTCCAGAATGCTGCAGCACGGGCTGCCCAGTCGCGCCCTCTGCCCTGGGAAATGCCCCCGCCCGCCCTGGGGCGCTAGAGGAAAGGGGGCGTGGGTGGGGCTGGGGGGGTCTCGGGGGGGCCTTTCAGGACTGGGGTGTTAACGAGGCCAGCCAGGCTCAGCCCCCCCGTCCCTGGGCCCGTGGTGGCTCCAGCCAGGAATCGTGCGGCGCTCGGTGTTTTCCACGCCCCAGGAAAGCTCCGTGGAGCAGCCGGGGCAGGATCTGCGGGGCTGGCTCCACCCTCGCTCCCACTGGGGTGAAGCAGGAGTCAAACCCCTGGGGTCTCATGCCCCCCACCCCTCCCAGTCCATCAACGCCTGATTTACCCAGGACAGGGGCTGGGGTTGTGACCTGGAGGGAGGGACCCCGGAAGCTGCTGGCCAGGACCGGGGGCTCGCGGCACTGGGTGGGGGAAGCCAGCGGCTCAGATCCCCAGATGCCCCCAGCATGGCACAAACAATCAGCCCCTCCAGGCCTCGCTTGCAGACGTCTCTGAGGGGCGGGGGTCTCCGGCCTGTTGCTGGCAGCCCAGGGATGGATTTGGCCCAGGGGTTCGTGCTGGATTTAGGGGTGCGCGAGGTGCTGGCCCCCTGTCTGGGGGAGGGGGCGTTTCCACGGGCGCTGGGTGGGTGATGGGGCCGGGCCCCGGGACCGAGGGGCGGCACCTGCAGGGCCAGTGGCATTACCCGCTCAGGGGGTCTCTCCCTGGCAAGGGGGGCTGGCGATACCTCTGCTCACAGCCAGGCTGCACCCCTTTGCCCCCAGGACCCTGCCTTCCATGGGGGGGAGGGGTGTCCCCATCAGGGGCCTGGAGCCGGCAGTTCACAGCCAGGTGCAGCTTGTCCCTGCTAGGCCAGCTGGCTGTGATTCACACGGTCACACCTGCTTCGCACGAGGGTTAGCGGCTGCACCTGGAGCCCTTGGCCAGGGGTGCGACAGGTGCTGGCGGGGGTGGGGCATTTCCACGGGCGCTGAGTGCCAGATGGGGCCGGGCAGCAGGGGCCGCCCCCCCCCCCAGGGCAGAGGGACTTTGCTGTCTGCTGGGGCTGGAGCCTGGGGGGCTCTGGGGCTGGAGCTGCGACTTCAGCTGCTGCTTTCGCTTCCTCCCAGACTCGCTCCCCAGGCTTGGCGTGGCCCAGGCAGGGCCCCCTGTGCTGAGTGACAGAAACAAGTGTCCCCCCCAGAGCCCGGCTCCCTGTTCTGGGTGAGCATTGGAGGCCCCACCCCAGGCAGCACGCCAGTCGGACCTTGCCAGGTAGCAGGAGGGGTGGGGGGCAGGGAGGCGGGGCTGGGCGATGGCCCGTGGGGATGGTGCAGGGCCAGGAGCAGCGCCAGGGAGTGCAGCGTTCAGAGAAGCAGCGGACGTGCGTCCTTGCTCCGTGCGCCGGGTTCCCGTGGCCAGCTGGGCCCGGGGGCCGGTTGCCCATGGCAGGCTGTCCTGAGGGCCAGCCGCTGCCCGGGAGCCTGGCGAGGAGCCGCTGGTCCCGCCTGTGGCCCTGGGAATGTTTTTCTTTGGGGTTTGGGTCTCGGCTGCTCTCAGCCTCCTGACGCTGAACATTAAATAAACAGCCGCCGGGCCCCGCATCCGCTGGCAGGGTCCCCAGGGCGGCTGCCGGCCTGCAGGGGCGGCCCGGGCGGGTCTGGCTCCAGACCTGTCTGGGCCCTGCCTGCTCCAGCCTGGGAACTGCAGCAGCCCAGCCCCTGTGCCCGGGCGTTCGGCCGGCTGGGTCGGCGTTCCCACCGTGCCCAGCACCCGACGCTTTCTCTGCTGGGAGATTCAGCCCCGGCCACCCTCCTCAGTCTAGTCGGCAGCTGAGCTCCGCTGGCAAAAGGCTGGTTCCTCCTTCTAGTTCAGAGCCAAGCGTCAAGCGCCCGAGGTCAGCGAAAGGGCGGAGGGTTCCTGGAGTTGTGTGAAAGCAGCCAGAGGGTGAGATCGGGGCCACGTTGTGCCGGGCACTGTCCAGACCCAGACCGTGGCCAGGACCAAACACACAGCGTGAGACGCTCCCTGTTCCTAGACCTCCCAGTGTCAATGAATCAAGGGGGGAGGGGAACGAAGCCCAGAGAGGGGCAGGGCCGTGGTAGAACTCGGCCTAGAGAACCCAGGTGTCCTGACTCCGAACCCAGGGCCCTCCCCACTAGCCCCTGCCCATTCGGGGAAGGGCTGTTCCCCCCCACCAGCGCAGCCCGGTGCTGACTCAGCAGCGGAGGGCCTGGCCTCGCCAGCGTTTCTCTCCGGGGGTGGCAGGACGCGGACACCCCTTCGGAGGGGGGGCGTCCCCTGCAGCGAGAGGGAAGCTGAGCGCTTTGGTCACACAGTCACTGCTGATGAACCAGTATCCTTCCTATCTGTGCAGGCGATGCTGCGGCGACACTGATCACCAGGGGCCGGGGCATTAATAACACTCAAAACGCTTCCCTGAGCTCACAAGGGTTCGGCAAAGCGCCACGGCCCAGGGGCGGTGAAAGCCTGGGGGCCATGTCACGGCAGGAGCTGTTCTAAACTCGCCCCATTCCCCTGGGTCCCCGCTCACTCGCCCTGGGGACAGCACAGGGCTCGGCC